CGACCCCAACAGGCGGGTGGGCTCCTTCTGCGTGGACTCACAGGTCGGCACCTGTGCAGACACGGCCAGGCTTTGAGGTCCTGGGAGGAAATTCAGCGTGGCTTCGGTGTGTGGCACACAGCTGGAGGTACGGCCTTACCCCGCCCATCACAGTTTGAGACGGGCCACAACAGGCATCGTATCGCTGTCTCCATGAAGGAGGGGAGTTTTTAATCAGAGAAAGTACAGGGTCACGAGGGGACACTCTCCATGAAGCAGTTATTCAAGGAAGCAGTAAGTGGAGAGATGTAATTAGCATTGCAGCAGCTAGAACTCTAATCCTCAACACTTTCCTATAAGTGCTTCATGAAGAATATCTTTTTGCTCAGCCTGTACTATTTTTGCTCAAAAACTTACCTTCTCCATAAAGTTCAGTAGCTGCAATTGCATGTGAAAGCTTATGAGAAATGGCTACATACTGCCAAAAATTTGTGCCACCTTACAAGGGTTCAAAAGAGCAAGCTCTTCTGTACATTTCTCCCCTAGAACCCATTTTTCTATTCTGGCTTCCTAGAAAGGGTATTATCATTTCAGTGCTAAAGTTTTAAATTGAAATTCATGAAATCAGAACTCTCAAACATTTGAGTCCAATGCTCACAGAGAGAAGTCATTATATTTTCATCGAGTGCTTTCATGTTTAATAATAAGTCTTTATTTTTCAAAACTTACATAAAATTGATGCAAAATGCTTCCCGTGTTAGAAAAATGGTTGTTGGCTCTTTGTTACATGGGAAAAAGATCAGAACTTAAGTTAACTAATGTTCAAAACAGTGAACATTATTAGTCTACATGGAGGATTTATCCTCATGGAATGCAATTGTTTTCAAATACATATTTGTTCTTTTTTGAAAAGAAGTGATTTTGCTAAATAAAAACTAAGGTAGTCTGCATCATGCAATATAGCCACCATGAAGTACTATTTAATACTTTACATGTAAATGTGCAGGTGAAATTTTCAGATATCACTAGATAGGAGCCTCAACAGTCTTATTTCAGTTACTGTGTGTGTCATAAAATATAGGAGAGCTAACTTTTCCCTCTGATAAAGTGTGGGAGAGATGGCGTCCTGTTTTCCACCAATGGTCTCCTGAGGCACCATCTGCGTTTCACAAGGTAGCAGGACAATGGTTCCAGGAGATTTTCCAGCAAATGACACTAAGAGATATCATCCTAGGGTCAGATAACGGTGAGAAGAAAGCAACAATATTTCTAGAAAGCTCAACCAGAATGTGTATAAACACAAATGTATTTTTCACTGCTAGTCAGGTTTGTATGTTGAAGGATGCACATATAAGTGAATTATTTAATGAAAATTCCATTAAAAATATCTCAGTTCAGTTGGGGGCCATAACTCACACATCCATTCTTTTGCAAAAGATCGTTTTTCCAAATGCATATCAATTCCTGCTTTCTGTCAGAGAAAAGACTTGAACTGAGGTCTTTCGGATTACATCCACCCAGTTCCTAGGCTGTTAGGATGGATTGCTGCATTAAAATCTCAGACATGGAGGGAAAGAAGAGGTACTGACTTCACCAGCTTCTCCTGGTACCCCAGATCTCCCCCTCCAGAGAGGTCTGTGGAGACCACTACCTAGAGACTGTTACCTGGCCAACCGCAGTGCAGCACTGGCTCTGGCACTGCCTGTCTATGCAAGGACTGTGGTGCTGGACCACGCTCATTGGGACCAAGAACTATCTACAGTTACATCCGGGGTCTAACAGCCAGCTGAGCAGGAGCGGCAGCACTGATCTGAACTGCAGTGCTTGCTATCTTGTTCTTGGCAAAAGAAAAAAAAACCAAGTTAACCTTGTTCACCATCTTGTTCACCACTGTCCGATACAAATAGAATGCAGACTGCATTTCTAATTTAAATCACTAGTAGACGTAAAAGAAGAGTGTGAAATTGATTTGCATGGTGCTTTTCATTCAACCTAGCCCTCCTGAATGCACTCCGTTAGCATGGTGCTGGCCATGTTTCCAGCTCCGAGCTTGGCTGCTTGGTGGCCACAGGGTGGAGGGTGAAGCTCTGAACAGGAGCAGGGGAGCTGCTGCTCAAAGCTGCTGTCTCCACAAAAATCTGGTAAACTGAAGCACCCCAGGGTGATACAGCAGCCTACCCGTGACAATTAAAATAATCCTGCTTATCCTTGTACTCATTTTACAGACAAGAAATGCAGAAAAGGAATTTAAAACCAATCAATAAGCAAACAGACAAAATAGGTCTTTTCTCCTTAAAATACGATGAACCTACAAAGATTTTTACCATGTAGCGATGATTTTAGCAAAGTCATTTATTCTCTGCTTTAAATGAAATTCCTCCCATTGCAATTTAAACAGGTTCTGTCTTGTTTTTATCCTCAGCTGAATCTAAGAAAAGCAGCTCCCCATCACTAATATGATATTGTATTCCTTTAAATCCTTTAAGACTCTGACCCTTCTCTCCTGCCCCAAAGATTTTTCTTCGTCTAGCTGCACAGATTCAATTCCTTCAGCATTTTAACCTGGACCTGGTTTAAAATGCTTTCTATTGTGTTTGCTGTTGTCTATATGTACTCTTCAAATGTAAGAAGAAAACCTGAACACAGCATTGTAGAAATGTTCAAATATTCCTAACACAAAGAGCTCACGACACAGGCCTGAGGCGCTCTTCTGCTGAAACCGTTTGCTCTGAATATCTCACTGTGTCTTGCTTATATCCATGCACACAAGCCCTGAAAAACAAAGCCACCTTAGGATGTTCTGCTGTCTGGAGGCATTCCCCACCTACAAGAGTGGGATTGAAACCCTCATCTTCAAAGCTGGTATTTTTTTCTTACGTAAACTCATGAAGCAGTTTGCTGTACTGGTCACTAGAATAAAGAACTTACATGCACCTTTGAAATTTCCTGCTTATCAAATTTATAGCTTAAAGAAGATAAAGATCAAGCAATCTCAGCAGCCTAGCCCTCAGAGGAAATGCTAGAAGATGCAACGAAGGGCCTCAAGCTCAGCACTAAAGAAGGGACTGAGAAGCACAAACACGAGTCACTGTAGCAAGCCCCAGCCCTACACAGAGGACGGGGCCATGTGGACAGCGGACAGTGGTCCTGTCTAGTTCACTTCTCCCCCCATGGCACAGATGAAGGCTCGAACGGCGGTCACCCAAGGCAAAGGGCAGCAGCTAGCAAATAAAGTTGAACTCAGCCTAGGAGTTGGAGAACAAGACCCCGGCATTTTATTGCTTCCTGAAGTCAAGAGAGAAACAAAATTACATAAAGAAAATGCAATCTGTCTATCCTATTATCACTACCTAAAGGGTAGCTCTGAGGTTCTCCGAGAAACTGAAAGAAAGAGCAATCAGTTTACCTTCCGAGAACCCAGCTACAAACTTGGCACTTGATGAATGAGCCTGGCTCTTGCAGACCTGGGCGTCTGAAGTGCAGGGTCAGCGATGCTGGCTGTCCCGTCGTCCCACCGCCATCTATGACCTCTGCACATGGGACTCGACCTCCCCCGGCGGGCACAGCACCTACACAAACGCCCTTCTACAATAAGAGATAGCTTTTTAAACACAACATTGTGAAAAGCAGGTTTGGGCCATCTAGAAACAATTGACTAAAGGAGAAAAGAAACAGCTGTCACATACTCAAGGGCTCCAGCACCTGAGGAAGGACAGCAAGAACAGGGCAGGGACTCTGCATGGACAGTGGGACGGGAAACCGGTCCTCAGGGGCGCTGCACTGGGCCAGCCTTGCCCCATGGCGAGGGCGAAGGCTGCGCAGGACTCAGCTTGTGCTGGGCCCTGACCCGTGTGGCCTCGAGGACACTGCGCGGCTGTGCCCCGGCCTTGCTGCAGGGAGCAGGCACTCCTGGTGGAGCTTACCATCTGTACACTCAGTCTGTAGGGTTTGGATAGTGCGGCTCAGTTCTCAGTGGGCTGAGAATCCTGGGCTTGCTGGTGAAATCTAAATCAGGTAAGGCGCACAGCCCAGCCAGTGCCCTGCTCCCTACGCTGCGCCCCAAGCACCGGCTGGGCTTTCCAGCACCTTTGCCTTTGACTAGAGATGCACACGAGAGGTAAATGAGGCTGCAAGAAGAGACTTACTGGTGATACTTAAGTCTCCATGATAACGTGAAATAAAGGACAGCGGCAACAATTTATAATAAAATTAGCAAATCCCTGACTTACAAATCCTGCTTCTAATGCGTCCTTTAAAACTTCCATGAAGAAACACTTGGACTCTTAGGCGAGTATTCATAAAAGTAACATATAAAAGAAGAATAGAGTCATAAAAATAAAATTATCAGCAATAGGGAAGCCACCACACAGAACACGACGTGGACAAAACGCACACAGATTAGACAACACTGAGAGGATGTGTTCACGGGTAAAACCACGCTGGCTATGTGTCCACAAATGCCACGGTCACAGCATGCTGAGGGGTCACCCAAAGAGGTAAGAGTGAAAAGGTGGAAGAGAAGCTCTTAAATAGATCAGATTAAATTACGATCTCAGGTTTACCAGTGCAAGAGATGACGCCGGCCCAAGTTTCCGCGACGCTGGTGGACTTGGACTGAGAGAACAGCGCAAACTCCCGCTGAGTTTCTTGCCGAGGCAGAGAATCAAAAGAATCCTCTGCGCAACAGTCCACTTTTCCTGAAACCTTCTGTTCATTTGCAACACACATTTTAGGAAGAGGTCAAACGCTCTCAAGTGAAAAGTAAAAATGGATCCAAACTACAGAGTATAACTTTTCCTTTCCTTTGAAGACCACTCAGAACTTGGGTTCATCTCGTAACGACTCAGCTTTGAGGTGCCAGATCCTCTCTTGTCAAATGTGCGCTCCAAAAGCGACCGTGGCTCCCGAGATCACCTGGGGTGCAGCCCTGCCTGAGTCCCGACTCCGTCCGGATTTGGGCGCCCAGCATTTTGAGTGCCCACTACTCATGCCCACTGCACAGCAGCTTGGTGTGGTCTTACCTGCCACGGGGCCTCCCCCTGCAGCCCGGGGCAAGCGCCCGGCCCAGGTGGGGGACAGCCCGAGGGTCCGCACTCCACACTTCTGTACGTCCATGTCTCTGAGGCAGCCGGCAGCGCGGGCTCGGGCTTCAGCAGCTGTGAACCATCACGGCAATTAAGAATGATTCTCGCTCTCTCTCCTGTCTCGTGTCTTTCCAAAGTGCCTGGAGAACAAGGTTAGAAATGAACTGTAAACAAAACGTTTATGCTACCAGAATAAAAACACTGAACAGCACGCTCATAAGAGTCCCAACCCCTTCAGTTTACGTGCCTGGAGATCTTCTCGTAACCCCAAAGATAACCCACCGAGAGCTTTTTCTACATTATTCAAACCACCCTCTCCTCAAGGCCGCGATTGTGGACGTGAAAAGCTCATCCTCTCTGGCATGCTCTCGCAGGCACTGAGCCAAGAGACATTCAATAGTTGTTCACAGTCAAATCTCTCACTTTTCATACAGAATGCAAGTGATCAATACAAAGGACCATGGGCTACCTGAGTGCTGTCCCCTGGTGTTCAGCTCTCAAACAACACGAGGCCACAGGCTCTGGCTGGGCCCTTGGCCAGCCGGCCTGCTGCTGTGGCTGACACACCAGGGGAAGGGTCGGGACCTCTGAGGACACAGACGAGGCACCGTGGGGTCCTCGAGTTGGGCGGGGCTGTGTCGTCACCACCACACCCTTGCTCTTTCATCTCTATGTTACTAGGAGGGGGAAACCCTCTCTTTCTGCCATTCTTTAGTTGCGGGGGAGGGGAGGCTGGCAAATCCAAATAAGAGCTAAAGAGACCAATTATAAAATAGAGTAAAATGTACCAGTAAGTGGTTCACGAACAGTTAAGTGTTTTTATAAAATATGGTTCTACACACTCTGGGAAATCTCTGACCCCAGTCTCATGTCCTTTATGAGTTTGCGTCGATCATTAACACCACATTAAATATTAACTTATATCCAAGTGCATAAAAATGCTAGGTGACAGTATCTGGATAAATAATATCAAAAATATACATTTCATTTCATATTGTACCTTTCCTACCAAGGAGGAAAACCTGTATTATTTGCTAGGGAGAAATTAATTCTTATTGATAGTAATAAGAAAATATCAAAGCGATTGCAATAATAAAATGGTAATAAAAGTTATAGACCATTGTGCCTTCAGATAGGAAGGTGGATGGATGGATGGATAGACAGACTTAAGGATCTTGATCACACAATCCTCTCTCTTTTCTCCTCTCTTACACAGCCATCTTTTTTGGCAACTAAGCAGCCACTGCTTGGTCCTTTGGATTTTGAACCAGTAGCAGCTACTGTGCTAAAACAGCAGGCAGAACTTCAGTCCCAGGCCACTTAACCACAGTATTTTCCACTGTAATAGTTCTACCCTCATAATAAGCATCTTTAACTTATAAAACATTCTCCCAGTCTTTAAGGATTTTCAACAAACAAAGCAAGCAGTAACATCAAGAAGATCTTCTCTCTCACTGGGCGTGGTGGCACATGCCTATAATCCCAGCACTCAGAAGGCTGAGGCAGGAGGACTGTTGTGAGTTCAAGACCAGCCTGGGCTACAAAGTGCGCTCAAGGCCAGCCTGAACTGTAGAGCGAGACCCTGTCTCAAAAAGACAAAAAAAATTATAATAATAAAAAGATCTCTCTCAAGAACAGCAACAAGGGCATTTTTTTTCAAGCCAGAGATCACAGTTACTATTGCTTCCCAGAAAATGACGAATTCTGGACTGTGGGGCATTTCCCTTGGGATACCCATTGTCTTCCTGAACATGGTATACATGTATTTCCTTCCCACAGGTTTCCTGTGGTCCCACAAACTATGATAATTTGAAAATATTTGGGGAATTTTCTTGATGGGATTTCCCTGTGTTGCCCAGGCTGGTAAGGAACTCTGGGGGCCAGGGGGTTCTTCTGTGGAAAAGGTGGTGTTACATGTACTGTCACCACGCCCAGCTTTTCAGAATTCTCCAGAAATCACCTATGAACTTTAACGCACGTGTTAAGTGCCTTTTTATGTTGAGTGTATTTTTGTGTGATGTTTTATGCTACACTTACTGTGTGTGCAAGATTATTTCCTGGAGTTTTGGTGATGACGAGCACTTACCTATACACTTCAGCAGTTGTAAACCACTCTTGTCCGTGTGCAGACGACTGATCTCCCTGAGCACCTACTACGAGCCACTCGCTGTGACACGGGGTGAACAGGAAGGGCTCAGCCCCCTTAGCATCTCAGGGTGGCACAGGGGAAGGAACATCTGAAAGATGTTCATTTTTTTACATTTTGGATTTTTTACATTTTGGAACATTTGTGCAGACTTTACCAGCTGAGCATTCCTAATCTAAAAATCCAAAACCTGCTACAAAGCTGAAGCTTTTTGAGTGTGATAGCCTTTGGGGAATCATTTAGGAAGAAGATAAACTGTATCAAAACTCATGCTAATAAAATAATGGAAAATGCAAATTTGGGGGGAGAGTTTATAGGATGGAGAGAAATGTTCTGGCACTCTTTACGTTTCTTCTCAGAGATGTAGAGCGCTCAGTGACAGCTCGTTTGTCGCGGCCTCTGTATCGTCCCTGTCTCCGTTGGTCTGGTCACATGGGCAGTGTAGTTAACTGCTGCTCCTGATCAAGTACAGCGGAAAGCTGTTCTCATTGTCACTGAGTTCCTCTGGAAAGCAGACATTCTCCTGAAATTGGCGGCTGGATCGGGTGATTTTGTCAACGTGCTTTCGAGGAAGTTTCTCGGTCAGGAGGTGGCCCCTCTTTGTCCCGGGCCCACCAGCTCCTTCCAGGTGGTGCCACCCCTGCTGGCTGCTGTTTTGCCCTCCACTCCTCTGCCAGCAGCTGTGCCCACAGAGCCTGCAGGAGCCGTGGAGCCAAGCTCTACAGGACAGGAGCCTGGGGTGGGGTCCAGGTTCTTGGCTTGCGGGCCCCAGGAAGGGGGCCCTTTCTCCCCCGGGTCTTCTAGCACCCTCAGTGCACCAGCAGTGAAAGCAGAAACATTATGGAGCGCACGCCCATTTGCACAGGGAGGTAACGAAGAGGCGGACATTGAGAGTCAGCGCCTGTGAGAGTCCCTGTGCACCCCACACAGTGCAGACCAGGGCGTCTGAGAGCTCTCACCTGCACTCATGGAAAATCAGAGTACAGCTGAGGTGGGCAGCTCACCACTTCCTGTGCTTTTAAACAAATCGACTCTGACCACTCCGAGCACCACACGTGGGCTTCAGCCAGTTCTTTGAAACAAAAACAATACGCATGATTTAAAAATATTTCGTAAGGAATCACGATGGGAACAATTGTTCACAAAGATTTTAGGAGGGGCGGAAGCAGCACCCGCGTTGCTCTAAACATTCGAGCAGAAACATCTTTCAGATGTTCCGAAATCTAAAAATATGAGACAAAAGACTTCTGAAATGCTTCTGCTGACACCCCCGACGGGAGGCCCGCCCGAGCATCAGCGGAGGAGGGAGGGTGGGTGCCGGGCAGCCTCCCTCCCCAGGGCCGGCGCGGACACCGAGCGGCCTGGCCCCTCTGCAGCGTGGCGTGGACACAGGGACGGGGCCCACTGTGTCTCCCAGCTTCACGCCCACCCCGCACACCGCGGCCCTGGGGGACACGATCAGGCCAGGGCTCTCTCCCGCCCCATCAGGCCTAAGCGCTGACGCCCTCCCTGCCCACGAGGCCTGCGCCCCGATCCCACTAGCCGTGCGGCCTTCAGCTAGGCAGTGCACATTCCCCACCGCAGCTTCCCGACCTGTGTCATGGGCACGGTCGTCGTCATTCCTGCAACCCAGGCTCTCAGGAGGGTCAGACTGAGGGCCACGGACAGCGCCTGGGGCAGCGGCAGGCTCTGAGTGTGGGACGCCGTTCAGCCACCTACGTCCAGGTCCCCACTCCCTGCCTGTGGCCACGGTCTCCTCCCTGGCTTCGCTCCTGGCCAGGTGAGAAGCAAGGCCAGCGCGGGGTCAGCCATTTCAGCCCTCAGCTCAGAGCCGGGCAAGGGCACCGAGGGGCAGAGTCCGCTCAGCACCGGGCACTGCCCGCCACGGCCCGACCTGTGATTTCCGTTTCTCCCTTTGGGCTTCAGCTCAGACGCAAAGCCCTGACCTGCGAGCTGTCTTCTCACCAGATTCTCCCAGGGCCTCCTTCCCTCGCTCCCAGTCAGGTTTCCTCTTCCTCCCCTGAGAACAAAGGAGCCTTTCCCCCTCAGGTCTCTGCGCTGTGGGCGTGCCGCCTCCCCTCCTCAGAGCCCTCTCTGGCCAGGCCCTGGCCCTGCTGTGTGGTGCTGTCTGACATTGGGCCGCAGAGGTGGACGGAGGGGAGGAATCGGGATAGCTATTAGGTATGAGGGCGCTCGGGCCAGCTAATTCAGCTGCGCAGTGGACTGCCCAAGACATGGCTCGATTTAGATAAAGCCTCTGATATGATAACAAAATCAGACTGCCTCTACATCAACCTGGATACCTTCAGGGCACAGAACACATTTTTAAAAAGTCCCTGACCAAGGCGACCTTCACCCAGCCTGCACAGCCCGGAGCGCTTCAGAGCACGGCTGGCATTCATCAGCCCTGCCACATCTGACCTTTGCATAGAATCTCGACCTCTGACCTGCAGGATGGGGCGGGGGCATCACCGGGACTGAAACACATCAAGACGCTGACATACACAAGGGTCACAGAGGCGCATTACCCCTGGAGGACATTCACGCTATGGTTTCCTCGATGAGTGCATGCTTGGGAAACGGCCTTTCTTCCAAAAGTGTTAAGGTAGCATCTACTGTGACTAAATGTTAAATTTTCAACCTCATTCTGGAACCAAAGAGGATTCACAAGCAAACTGGGAGGACGATCGCAGAAGAGCATGTTCCGTGTGGTGATGTAGGAAGACACGTGGGGCTGTAAACGTTCGCTGTCCCAGGAGAACCTTAAAGCCATCCCGCCACTATGTGTGGCAAAATGCTATTCGCGCTGCATCGTTTGAATTTTATACCGGGTACGTACTTGTTTAACCTCCAAATGTTTCACAAGCAGACCTCACCCCTCCCGCTCGCACGGAGGGTTACCCACCCACCGGCCACTGCGCATGCTCTCGCTGCACCTTGCGTGAGCGTGCCGCGAGCAGCGCGCAGCTTTTCCCAGAAGGAGCCGGGGATGGA